GTCTNAATGTTGGCGTTGGTGGTATCATTAGAGACCATACTGGGAGCATGTTTGGTAAGGCTTAAAATCGAATTAAAATTGAAAATATAATCGTTATTGAGTCTTACTCGTCTAATAAAAGTCAACAATAATGATTAATTTTTCAATTTTAATCTGATTTTAATTTCTACAGAACACGTCCTGGGTCTGTTGTGGTTGCTCGTTCTAAGCTAATTAACGGGGGCTTTTCACCAGAAGTTGCAAAAGCACTTGCTGTGAGAGAAGGTTTAAGATGAACAAAGAGTTGTTGATTGTGCCTTGTAGCTGTCGAATGATCCACTGCCTATTGCGGTTTACTCCTAGTAATGGAAATAACAGTGCCCGACATCTTGGCCTCGTTTGATATTACTGTGACAGTCTTGCGAGACTAGATTGTTTATATTTCCACTTTTGTAATGCACATTGTGAGAAATGATTTAACGTAATTAAAGTACTATGTTTATATACGTTGATAATCTCTAATGAAAATAAATAGCATTACTCTTATTTATATAATAGATACTCTTACTACTCAAAGTCCCTCCACCGACCGCACCATGGCTCCCAACCTTTGCCATCACAATGCCTCTTGTGCAGAGGCTCCGTGAGCTTGTACATGTGATGCGCACACGTAAAAAAACTTGGGAGTGTGGGAAGGGGATAGAAAAGAGGCAATTAAGAGTAAAATTGCATATATTTTATACAAGTAATTATCAACGTATAATAGTTTGAACAATTATTTATTTATTGTTATTATTTTTTTGGCAAGATTAAAATGAAAATACTAAGATTAGTTATATTTTTGGTACACTCATTTCATATAATAATGATTTGGTTTATTGTTTACTGAATATGATATCAGAGTTCAATTTTTTTTTTTTTTGTAAGAATTAATTGAATCTTTCTAAATCTCATAGGAACAATCGACTCCCAACGTAAAAAGTGATTTAACCTCGATTATGAAGGTTATCTTTTGGGGTGCATCTTAAAAGAATAATACTATTTATTCTAAATCTCATAGGATTCGGCAATTAGAGAAAAATGTGAGGAATAATGAATTGTCACATTATCGATATTTTATCATCATGATGATAAATAACATTACTCATCTTAAAATGTTGGGATCAAGAAAAAAGTCAAAGAAGCATAATGAATTTAATCTTGCTAGTTTTTACTTACAACCCTACTCTTGATATGAAAACAAAGGAAATTCCGACATTGTGAATTGAAGCCTGGGGTCAAGAAAAAATAAGTGGAAATTACACTTAACCAAATCTTTCAAGATCCAATTTCAAAAATCAAATTTAAAATTTATTTATACAAAAATCAGATATTAATAATATTAAATATCATCTATCTTCTCATTCTAAATCATACCCGCCCAAAGCCGAAAAATCTCAAAACCACAAATCACAACCCACTTCTTCTCTCTCTCTCTGGCGGCTTCAATGGCTCAGTCGCACTGTTGCACACGACCCAACGCAGATCCTTTCTTCTTCTTTATTTTTTTTATTTTTGAGTGATGCCGTAATCGACGGTTCGGTGGTGATACTGTGGTGGTTATGATGTGTTGGTGGGGTTTGTATTGCTGCGTTCAATGGGTGCGGTGGTGGTGCGGTGCGGTGTGGTGGCTTTGGTGGTAGTGTTGGGGTTATTGTGTCTGTGATGTGGTTGGTGGTCACAAATGATTTGATTGTTTGTGATCGATAAATTGGTTAACGTGTTATCAATAAACAATATATGACTAATGAAATAGATAAATTGTGATCAATAAATAATGTGTGACCTAAAAAATTGTTAATTTGTGACTAATAATTTAGGTCCTGTTTGGGAGGGATTAAATTTTTCTATAGTAAATCAATTCTCATTTTCAACCACACATTTTTCAATAAAATAATATTTTCCATCACATCAATAATTTTTTTTCTTTTTCAACCACATATTTCCCATCATATCACTATTCAAAATCAATTCTTCCCCCAAAAATCTCTCTCAAACAAGCTCTTAATATTTTTTGACAATGAAAATAAGTTGACTTATAAAATTTATGATTTGAGATCAAGGAATAATATGTGACTATTAATTTGATAAATTTGTGATTGTGAAATAATTTATCACCTATAAAAAATTTTAATTGTGATCGATGAATTCTTTGTAACTAATCAATTCGATAATTTGTAATCAAATTGTATGGAACTGTGACATTATATTTAATTTATAAAATATATTTTTAACTAATTATTTCAGAAAATAAAATTTAATAAATATCTGATTTTTGAAATTTTAAACCTTTTATCTTAATTTTGAAATGAATTATAGTTAAACTTCCAAAAATACAAAGTGCTTTCAAAGGTCACTTTTGATGGGCCCATTTAGTGGACCAAAATTAAGCACTCAAAGCCCATATTCAACATCAGTGTAAACTTGAGATTCCATGTGCCCTTAAATGACACCCACCAACCCCCACGCCACGCCACCCCACCCTCTCTCTCTCTCTCTCTCACACACACACACACACACACACACACACGCACGCACGCACGAAATTATAATGTCATCTTGGTATGATGTGAGGCACAAATGGATAAGCTTCCAGTTTATCACTTTCATAAAGATTAAATATCAAGAACATATTCACCAATCCTATCATATCACAAAATTGAAATAGATGACTCGACGCGCTCATTCATGAAATTCCGGAATCAAATGTTTTTCCCATTTACTAGAACTCATATTTAAAACGATACCATTGATGTTTGAAACACGATAATATATAAGATATTATAACATTCATGAATATGCTTTTGAGCGTTTTCGTTGAATACCCTTTTATTTTAAGCAAAACACCATCATAATTTTTACGTTTTTATCTCAGACCCAATGGGGGTTTGACCTGTTTTACTGATAGAAGATCAGAGTACAAAACAGGAAGAAATAGCATCAATAAAAGGCCTACTACTGAGAAAGAGTACTTGTAGATGAATAGTGCCCATATTTGGTTTTGATAAAAATTGATTAAATATGTGTTTGAAAAATTATGGATTCCAGAACGGAAATACCCGACTAAAGATTATGACAAAGAAAGCTCCTCAGATGGAGTTTAAAATCCTCATCGCTGCCTTAGGAGACATTGGTGGTTCGGCATCTCGTGAAATATGATTAAAATTAATTGTTAATTTTGACTTAAATTTTTATCAACAGTTAAATTCCTAAGCTTCCATCCCCCCGGCGATGTTTGCATATTTGGTTCCATTGAACCCAATGAGCTCTGTCATGCTAATCTTGAAATCCCCATGAAAATTGAGAAAAGATAGACTCAAGAACACAATTGGTGGTTTAAGGGTTTGAAGCAAAAGTACAGGCATATAAGATAGCACTGATTGGACTAACAGAATACACAGTACGCCCGTCCATCTATGCACTGCCTAATATTTTGCACTAAACTGTAATATAAATAGCCCTTAAACATAGTAGTTCCCAAATACTAGAAAGGCATCGGCTGGTGATGAAAACCCGACAACGAATTAAGGGTTATCCTAGATTATTTGCCACCACTAACGAGCTCACCCGATGTCATCTCATACTCGTGAAGGAAATATATGATGCGACAACGTGCTTCCATTGGTATGCTGCTACTATATCTGTAAGCCGTGGAAGAATGTTGCTGAAATATAAGTTCGAGTTCACATGATATAAATTTAGCCCCTATGAGCCGTGATGTCTGGTACCCTTGGAAGTTGGAGCAGTAACCTCAACGACTCGAAATAACCAGCTAACTCTCCATTCATCAAAACTGAGAACCAGAAATTAGAAATGCATCGTCTGATCTTATCAATCTACTCATCAAAACCAAATTAGCTAAGAATTGAAAATTCCAGTTTCCCCGATCATATGCCTTCCCAAATCCAGCTTCAAGATAGCATTACCTCCTTGGAGTTTTCTATCGAGTGGATCATTTCTCGTGCCAAGAGAATGTTGTCACTCATCCAGAGTCCCGGAATGAATACACTTTGATCAGGAGAAATAATACGGGGATGCACCACAATAATACAAGCCATAAGAATTTTGGTGAGAATTTTGTTGAAGAACGTTGGTTAACGGGTGATAATTTTGTTGCTCCAAGTCAATTGATTGCCTAGGTATCTCACGTAAACTAGTCAGCAAAGACATTACTACCCCTGCCTCGCAGTGAAACAAAAAAATCGAGTTTCATCCATCCAAGGCTCAACATGACAAGATAAGGCCAATCCAACTTACAAACCCACACAGCTCAGATGCAAAAGACTCAATTCAGCTCTCTTAGACCACCATCAATCAAGATCAAAGCACATAATACTGACCAACAATTGTGTTTAAATTCATACAACTTAATCACTCGCATGAAAAGGGTTCATAATAGAGTGACACTGACTCAACAGACAAAGTTGGGGCTCTAGAAACAAGTCCCTCTAAAGGTAGATTTTAGCCCATAAGATCTCTACTCATAATTAAGAAAAATAATCAATCAATTTCAAGAAAGATTTATCCATATCTGAATTTGAATAAAAGAATCATACACTATTTAGGTTCACATCTTCCAAAGTAACTAGAAGAAAACTTGTACAATAAAAGAGTCTTTCATGAAAAGACATACAAAAAACTTGAAACTGAAGCCGCATAAAAGTAGAAAAGGCACAAAACTGGATATCAAGGGGACAAAGATCACATAATTTCCTATAACATATGTAAGACTACAGATAATACTATAACATTCAAAGCAAAGCAATAAAATTTAAAGCACGCCATTGCAGATCTTTGTATGCACTGACAAACTTCCAAAAGTCATATTACAACCAGAAAGAACTCACTGTGCAAGTATGTTACTAAACAAAATAAACATTTTTTTGCACCCCTGCCTGCTACTTCATACGGGAAAGAAGAAATATAGATATGCTCAACCAAGTCCTCGATCATCAAGCTAAGTTTAGCACTATAGGATACAATCAACTGCTGTCAATACTCATCTCCCTTCGTCTTAACTCCAAAGACATATGTTCGTTCTCAAGTTTCATCCTCTCAATTTCCATCTTCGTCATCTCCAATTCTCTGTCCTTTTTCTTGCAAAATCTCTGCCATTTGAACCGCTCTTTCTCTAGTTCCAACATTTGTCCTTGAATATGTAACCTTTGCTCTTCTAATTGAAGACTGCAATGATTCAGCCACTGCTTTTGTGACATGTTCGATTTCATGCTTTCAGGTAGCACTTGACTCACATCAGCATCGGTAATTTCTGACTGGAAATTGAAAGTTTTGTTGCAATCTAGAGAATTAAAAGAACTTCCAAAACTAAATTCTTCATGATTCTGACATTGTTTTAACTTTTTCATAGAGTTTCCTGGTATTTCCTGTACCCTATGATCCCCACACAAAACATGATTCTCTTCATATTCATCATGACCGTCCAATTCAGCTTCTTGATCAACTTCATTATCATCCTGCAGATGCCTTGTCACATCATTTTCATCATGATCATCTCCACTTCTAAGTGCTAAGCGCAAAGAACGCTGCAAATCAGGATCAGGGGGAAGGTGTAATCGATTTCCATTATGATATGAACACATCTCTTCATAGTGCAAATGTTTTGAGCTTAGAATCTTTCGAACTTCCTCCTTTGCTTTCTCAGAGATGTGATCCATCATATCCAAAAGTGTTGGATTCTCAACAACCTCACAAGAAGTTCCTCTCCCAAGGATCTCGTTAAGTCTTTTATACCTTTTGTTAAGGTCATTAAATTTATCCTCACATTGTTGAGGTGAAACAAAATGACCTCTTTCGGCCATGACTTTGGAAACTGATTTCCACTTCCCTTTTTTATGTAAATTTGCATATTTCCTTCTCCCCCCACTACAACCATATTCAGTGGCCGCCTCCTCAGTAATGTAAGAAACAGCAGTAATTAACAACCGGACCATAGAATCGGTCCATTTCACACGTTGCCATTGGGATGCCCTCTTTCCTCCAGTTGGATCATTCCGACCATCAGTGGCATCTTCCGTAAAACTCGGTTCATCCTCATCACTTGCAGTTTTTACCCTCTCCCCTTTGTTGTAGTCTGCAAAGGAAATTGTCTGTTCACAATCTTGTGTGTTTCCAATTGTAAGTGAAAAATTCTCATGACTCGTGGGACGAGCCATTAAGGATCCTTGTCGAGGATGAGAACTATGTTGTTGATGGAGTGCAAGGGGGTGTTGCTGTTGCTGTTGCTGTTGCTGCTGATGAACTCGTACCGGCCCTTGCAGATTAAAACCTCCAAAAGAACCATTACCTTGAAAGATATTTCCGGATGATAAATTCCCCTCCATCATTTGTTAAAAACAGAACTTTTTCTGATCAAAACCGCAAACCCATTCACTTTGTATATAAATTTCACTGTAAAAAGTTATTTAGTAAGATTGCAGATCTTCGAAACACTAAAAGTTTAAAATATGATTAAACCTACAAAGCCACCTTTCATTTAAATCTCTACAGCATATCCAAGTCTTCCTTACTATCTTAAATTTCTAGATTATCAATTTAAAGCAAATATAAAATAAAATTATCCACACAAAATACTCAAATATAATTCGATTTCCCAAATATTACCCATAGAAAGCATCAATTAACACCGATCGTACATAAATCAAAAGAAAAAAAAAAGCCTAATCACCAACAACCCATCAAAATAATTCACATTTTAGCAATAAAAAAATAAAAAAGTACTTACATTAAGCTGATAACTCAAAAGTAAAACCAGACTCTGCAGCTAATAATAAACCTCCAACGGGGGTTCTAGATAGAATACATCCCACATCTTGAATATCAGATGCAAGGTAGGAGAGAATTTGGAGGGCCCACATGGGCATTATCTTTTTCATATCAGGCGTACTGAAAACACGCGCATCTTCCGTAAGAAGTTTACAATTTTGCAACTTATTCATTTATTGTTAGGATTAGTGTACGTGTACATAATCCTTTACACTCCACTCACATGAGGAGGTGGGATCACGAGCCGTCATTTTTAAAAACACATGGGGCGCTGAGAGGACACCATTCAGTACCCCTTTCGGTACTAGGGGAATTACCCTTATTTTTAATTACACATTTTCTCATAAAAAAAAATTTGCACTAAACATAATTTTTTGTTACTTATTTAATTACATTCTAAATAAAATTACTTAAATCTGCATCAAATAGACTAGGCTCTAGCACTGCAAGCTTCTTGAGTGGTCATGATTTAGATGGCTCGAGACTTGGATTCGTTGATTAAAATTTAAATCTGTATAATTCTTTGAGAAAAACTTTACGAAAATTTCACTACCTAACTTACAATTCAAGATATAAAATTCTTAAATTCTATTTAGTTTATCTTTTAATTGTTTCTAATAATATTTATTAATATTCTCGTGGTTAGTGTATAACGTTTTAATATATAATCACATCTATGCTTTTGAATTTTTGGAACTATTTTCAATTAATATTTTCTGAACGAAAAATAATGAATTTAATATACAGTGAGTCACATCTATCTGTTTCATATTTTTCAACATTAATATAACAATATTTTAATTCTCCCACATTTTGACTAACGTATACAACTGGGAGAATAGTAAACTTCAAGAAACGTGTATTGAAAATCCATTGACTAGTTTCTTCTTAGGATAGCTTTCCAGAAAGATTTATGCTACACGTACGTGATGACGTCACATAGACCCTCTCCACCATCACATGGGGGCAGCTGCGCCCAGACATCGCCATGTTCAAATGGAAAAACTCTTTTAGAAATGTTCCAATTAAAAAAAGAACTGATACCGAAAAATTTATAATTATATTAATATCGTACTGAACAATCCAATCACAGGACGACCGACCGACCTGTATTTGGCCGGAAGTAGGCCGGGCTCAACGAAAGTCCCCAATTCGAACAGGTGCTACTAATAATAATTACAGATATAAAGGATGAATTCCTGTGCATCAAAATATGCAATACAATATCATGTTGGAAAAACAAATAGTGCAATGGAATGATTTTCGGGTTATGAGGAAACGTGCTGTCTTTTTTCATTACAAAAATACAACAATCACAAGCAAAATGGAAGGGGAAGGATTGGGGTTCGGGTTTGGGTTGGGATATGGGAATAGATGAACGAGGTAAGTACGAATCTATCTACGCCTCTGCCTAGAGAAACTTGGGGAACCAAAAGATTGTGGTCCTCGAAAGCTCATGCTGGGAGAATCCATTGACCCTTTGAAAGAAGCATATGCTGCTTTGGCTGATTCTGGAACCACGTCTAGTGGTATCGACTCCATAAAGCATGCTTTGTTAATTCGTGTTCTTTCAAGTTCGGCTTCAAGTAGTTCAGAACTATACTGCTGGGCAAGAGCCTAAGCAAACAAGAAAAAGAGCAAAGGAAACATGTAAGCTATTAATTTTCTTAGAAGTAATTGATTCATAAAGCATAGTCCCAGCTATGAAACATTGATGGAGAGGGGGAAAAATTCAATTGCACCAAATCATGCATATATCAAAATGGTCAACTGTAATAATGGTAGAGTACTGCATGACAAAAAATTAGAAGCCATCTACAAGAAGCACCAGATTAGTATAGCATGTTCAGTAAGCTGCAGCTGACAGTATCAAGAGTATTAAAGAAGAAGAAATAGTTAAAATCAAGAACTGTTTTTACCAACCATGCACTTAAAGAAGGAAATAAGATCCAATAAAAGCAGAGCCAGTGTACATGGTCAAACATGACATTAGAAGTTTAAAATGTCTTACAATCAAGTCATCTGGTGATACATTCATTCCTGTTTGTCTATCATCCGCAAGCACGTCGTCACTTCCACGGGTAGGCCGTCGCTGATGACTTGGAGTCTCTACAGACTCTGTCACGCTTTCTGTAGCTTTCTCCAACAAAACGCCTTGTAAAGACTTAAGAGATTCCCTTGCATCGCGAGTAAAGTACGGATTCAATATGGTCTCGAAATATTCAAGCTGCAGAACATTCAACGAAAACAATTAGCTGTCAGAGAAAACAACTGAGAGAAAAACTGCCAGAAAATGCAAATTACCCACTTTGCTTCACACGAGTTGCCCCACTTTGAGTTGGTGATATATCGGACTTTTCATTCTATTTGAATTTCAAACAAGAAACAGTTAATCATTCTCCTATTGTCTCTTTTTTTGTATCAATTTTTTACTTTTCCTTTGTCACTTTCCCTTTTTACTGGTCCTATACATTCAATTTTTTATTTTTTATGGGGCTTTGAAATCCATTTGCATTTTTTTCAACAGTTGATATGAAATTTTCTACAAATAGAAAGCAATAAAAGAAGCCAGTTAAACCATCTTGCCCATCATTTTAGGAAATGAAATTTTATCCATCACCTTTTAAGAAATTTAACTCGCATCAAGCTCATTGTAAACCACACATTCACTGGTTGTGCGGGGATTATGGGCAACTACTGTGTAACATCATAAGCTCAAGTATTTTAGGCCAGTTGGCTAGTGCCTATACATGAACCAAAGCTAGTCATTCGGCTCAGACCCTAACAGCAAGAGTACTAGTCGAAAGCACCACAACCAGGACCAGCAAACTGTTCCCCAAAAAGAGTCAAGAGAGTTCTGGAGAAAGTTCAAGTGAGGAAAGTGAAGATCTACTCACCTCGAGCATGAGCTGACAAAAGCCATTCGTGTCCAATGCCTTAAGGTTTTTGGTTTCATATTCGTGGAAAAGACCAAGAAAAGTATCAATGAGGCCTTCAACAAGAATACCAAGAATCTTATCCAATTGAGGCTTACAACCACCAAAAACCTGGTATGCAGAACAAACTTTATGTTAACCCATTGGGTAAAGATTACACAACTTAAAATTTGTCGCTTTTCAAGAAGGTATCCTTGAACTGAAGAATAGGGAACAGATGTTCTTATCAATAGTCAATTTAACTGTACAAAAGTTAAAGAAGTCCATCCTAGCTGGCAGGGACATGCATATGCCAGAAAACAAAAAAACAGCCATATGAGCCATGAGTACCTCTGCATGCACAGCTACTAGAGAATGCAGTAGCTCCACAGATGAATCTCGGACTCCCTGAAACGGTATATTGTATCAACAAAAGAACTCAGTGTATTTGAGATACCAAAAGAATTGCGACCAGAAACCGATTCCTCACTTTAACAGCAGGTGCTGATCCCCATTGCACTCCAGCATCCAACAAGTAGTTTACTGCAGCCGTTCTAATCATATTTGTCTGGAAAAAGAATGCGAACAAACAAAGGTGAAAAAAGGCTCAATACATATGGAAGGAGTGATGAAGATCCCTTGTAAAGTTTGTTTAAGTTCAAATTTACAACAAAATATTCAAGAACAAGAGAATGAATAAACTCATATTTGCACTTATTTTAACTGTTTCCCAGTAAGAATGATCCCATCATAAAAGTTTATTTATTATTTGAAAGCTAGAATCATGCAAGGTCATTAAGTCATCAATTTTCACAGTTGGAAAATTGTAAAATATTAAATCCAAAAGAAATACCCTATAAACAAAAATTTATTGTTTTAAAACCAATATATCAACTCAAGAAATTTGTATGAAACACTGAGGGACAATGGTTTACACAATTGATTTGAGACTTGTTTCAGCATTCTCATGAAAAAAGAATAGAAAAACTAATTTCTTAGCTACATCCAGAAGAACACAATAATATTGATCGTGACAAGAATTGCATACATTTACCATTATGTGGTTCTTGGACAGCATCTAAGGATGCTGCCTGGAAGCTAGGCTGCCATAAAACTAGACCACTTTCTAACATTGAGATGGACAAGCAAAAGAGGAAGACTGTCAGCGGACACGATTCAATGCTCTCCAAGTTTTTTAATTTTTCCAGATGTTTAATATAAAAAATTGTACAGCTATGTGTCTACCATTGCAAAAGGTGTCAACACTAAGACTTGTCACTCATGAGACAACAAAATAGAGAGGAAAACATAATATAAGACGGTCTTTGGTTTTAGCACTTTCCCAGATTTATCAAAATTTGTCACTTATTTTCCTCTTTTTTTCTGATTTTATCATCCAATATCCTTGCACTTCAGGTGCGTGGCATTTTCCCTCTCATATACCATTCTCAGTTCATTGCGATTAGGGGACAAAAGAGGTTGATGAGAAGCAGGAAATGCATTAAAGCATCCTGTGTATATGCCAGTTTTGTTTCAATTCCATTTACTCCTCTATGCAAACTTTGATGCAATATTTATAAGCATAGATATTTGACATGAAATACAGTGACATTGTTATCTATCCAAATATTTACTTTTTGCCAGTGACAATTCAACTAAATCATGAAATCCATCGTTCATCATGGTCTCATCTAAAGCAATACACTTCATTTGTGTAACCTACTTGCAGAACGGTCTAGCTGTAACCAAAATCCATAAAACTAAGCAGAATATCTTTGAAGTCTTCGTAATATATGAAGATAAACATAAGAAACCTTCTTAGAAGTGATATTGCAACTAGGTGCAATGTGTGTGTGCATTATTACGGAACAACAGCCTCTTTAAGTTCAACTAAGCAGCCTCTTTAAGTTCAACTAAGCAAAGTGTTTAGCATACCTTAGCAAGAGTATACTGCGCGAGGACCTTCTCTTCAAGCCCAGAGAAAGATGTAAACAAATCTTGCATGTCACTGTCCTCTTCAGCTTTTCCTCTAAATTGGAAAAGAAAAAAGACATTCTAAATGTTACATACAGAAAACATAAAGAAACCAATGCAAAGATTGTCCCTTTATTGAGATGATTAAATTAGTTACACAACAGTCTTGTCATTTGCTTCTTCAACAAAAGTTGTCTAAGTTTTAGTTCAGGAAGTTGAACGGAAAACCTGATCTCCCTTCCTGTTGCTCATTTTATATCAATATCTAGGATGAGAAGAGGGAAGTAGAGGGGTTTGTTCTAAAAGAACTGGAACCTTCTGCAAGTTTGTAGGCCAGCAGAAAAGTAGTTTTTTCAAGAAACATCATTCCAAGTACCTTATCATGATGTAATAATAACCAATATAGACATAAATATAAGCTTTATTCCATAGACTTCTCAATAAATGGTAGCTAGAAGATACAGCAGATATGTATTCTATATGTGGAAGTGTAGTAAAACAGTCTATGTACCTAGATTGCAGCCAAATATGTTTGTATTTGTCGTATAATTCACGAGCAAGTTCGTCTTTGCAGTATCCAATATTACTCAAGACCATTAGCAGCTGTTGATGTGGATCAACAATGCTTCCAGTAAGAGGATCAAATGATTTTTCCAGTACTTCATGAGCATATCCATTTTGGAAATGTGGACTTTCTCCGTCCAATCTATTCTGGGTGAGCTCGGCACCAATGTGTTCCAGATGACCTGGTTAATGAGTCCATAAGATCCATATGTTTCAATATAAAATGAGGCAGAAAAAACCAAATGGAAAACCGTAAAAGAGGCAACAATTCGTCATCCTTCGTACCAACAAAATCCAATAAACAGTTCAAAAAGGCAACCCTGACAGATTCTTGAATTTCTTGAAGCTGTGCAAAAATATCTTCCGACTTTGTAGATTCACTTCTTAATGACTGGATCATCCTGAAAGAATAAATGCAAAGTTATTAGGGAATCAAACACCTAGTCAACTGCTTAGGGAGGTGAAAATGAATAACTACAATTTCTTTAATTCTTTTATCCATATTGATAAGTCTTTTCCTGGTACTTTCTGGGGGAGGTGGGGTTTGCTCTTTGTAGCATCCTGTTATTGAAAAGTATTGATAGCATTGCAGGGAAACTATTAGTGAACTACAAGTGAATTCTGGATCTTCGGACTGTTGTTCAAGAGGAAGTGTAAATTTCTAGGGAGTACAGTGGGGTAGAAGATTCTCAGTTGTAAAGCAAGCATGGACTCAGTGATGGTTTACTCTAGATTCTATTCCATTATTGGATATGCTAAGAACATATAAAATATTGCTAGCATGAACTTGGCTTGGTATCTAGTGAATGGATTGCACTAGTATTGGAGCTAATTCAATAAATCTATAATCAAAGAAAAAACTTAAAGGAAAATGCAGTAGGGAAGAACTGGGCTAATTTTCTAGGTGAGGCCAAAGATTTTTTCTAGATTATTATGCATAGATCTCTTGTCCAGGATAGGTTTTCATTATCGGATTAGAGCATCATTAACCAGTTAAGGGTGGTCCCAGTATGAAGAGTCACGAGAATAGCCAAGTCCAAAACATATTGCAAAAATTACAGCTGCCGCTGGAGTCCCCAACCTATGAGTGATGAAGAACGCAAGTCCTCTATGTTTTTTTGCGACATATGAATCCTCAACGTTTCATTTTTGTAGCATTTGGGTCACAGTAGACAGTTTCAGTCTATTTGACAGTTTTTTTTTTTTTTGATAACTAATCACGTAAATTTTATAAATCAAAAATAAAAGATAATACACAAGGAGTGCATTATCATGTTAAACAAGATAGAAACGATAAAAAATTCGGCAACCCTTCTATCGGACTAACGGTTGCA